TGAACAACGTGCAACAGACAAAAAGCAGCACCAAAAAGTGGGGAAAGCAAGAAGAGTCGGAGAGCGGGGGCGGGGCGGCGGTTCGGGTGAAAGTGTCATGTGGCTGAGCGTTCATTGTCCCCGACAAATCATGTGGCAGAGCGTTGACGTTTTGGCAGCATATAGAAAAAAAAAAAAGGAGGCATCTCCAAAAAAAAATCGAAACCTCCTTAAGTTCGCATGATGATGATGGGAAAGTTAGTCACCTTGCGCTTGTACTTTGGCAGCCACTTTGTGATCGGGAAGGTATTTTTGAGAGACTTGATGGCATATTCCCGGGTGGCCTCGGGGGTGCAGCCCTCGCGACGTTTGCGCAAAAAAGCGGCGAATTCGTCTTGAACGGAGGGCTGGTCGAACGTTGTTGGCAGCGAGCTGGGCTGGGTGGAAGTCATTGCGATCGTCCGGACAAAAAGGCTGCCGCGAGGTTTGGTGCTGCAACTGCTGATGCTGATCTGCTAGCCAAATGCTGAAATATGATTGTGGAGGCTGTGTATGCGAGGATGGATCTCGAAGCAAATGCTGGAGCACGAGAACACAAAAAAGAAAAAAAAAAAAAAAGAAAGAGGGAAAAACAAAATGTACAAAACAGGACTGATCTAGGGAAAAGTGCAGCAAAGTAGTCAGTGGCTGTAACCCAAATTCCCCAATAAAGTTCACAAAAAGCTGCTACCGAATGCGCCTTGTCGGAAGCACGAGTGTTTTTTTTTTTTTTTTTTTTTTTTTTTTTTTTTTTTCCAATTCAAAAAGCCTCATTTTCCGCTCGTCATCGCCTCGCTGGTGCAAGGGAGGAAGAGCGAGACCGCTCGCTGAAGTTGCTGCTCAGATTTTTGGTGCGCGCGCGCTGTCGGTTTTGGCACATCCGGCTTCAGCCACTTCAGCCACTTTTTGTTTTCGCTTTTCACAGGCCGAGGCGCGGAAGCAAACCTTTTTTTTTTTTTTTTTTTTTTTTTGATTATTATTTAAAGTTTATCGACAGAGGTGAGATAAAAACTCAGGCGACTACTTGCAAAGAACGTGTGTTTCAGCTGACCCTCTGAAACTCACTTTGGCGCGCGGCGATTGGCCGAAACTTACGCCGCTCGTTTTTGAATTTATTTTTGGAGTTGGTCGTTTCCGCTCCCGGTTGACTCGTGCGTGTGCAACGCGCGTTGAAAGAGGCGCAAAGGGAGGGGCGGGGGGGGGGCCAACAAGTGACAGGAGCAAAGACGGTGGTGGTGAGGGGGAGAGCAGGTCGGCTGTGAATGGTGGTGGGTTGGCCCGCCCGTTTCCAAGCGGATCTCGTGCTGCAGTTGTTTTTTCCATTCAAGTGCGATGGAGCCGGCCTTTGCGGTCCGCCATGCTCGATACTAATTTTCACCCTTCACCACAATGATTGTTAATCGTCATCGCTTTTTTTTTTGTTTCTTGAAGAGTAGAAACACGTTGCAAAGTTCCAAACTGTCGCTGAACATTTGACAGTCTTTATTATTTTTGTATTTTTTGACCACAGTTTCCGTTTCATGTAAGGCCTTTTTGTTTTTGGATTGGTCGTCGCTTGACCTCCACCCTCGAATAGGAGAGCAGCATTGGTTGAAGCACTTTGCACTCTCGCTGCAGCACAATGGGGGGGGGGTCGGTGCACGCCGAGCTCCAGAGGGAAGAAAGCGGCGACAAAAGCACGAGACCGGCGATTTCGAGCTCACAGTGACTCGTTTTGGATGTCCTCGTGGTCTCCGACGACTCACAGTGGCGAAAATGTTACCCCGTATATTTTGCCGCATCATCGTCGTTTTCATCATTTTTCATCATTTGCATTATTATCAACATCATCTTCTTCTTGTCCTCCTTCTTTGAAAGTCGAGCTGTTGTTACTTTTCACTCACTGCCAGTTCCTTCCGCTTTTTTTTCTTTCTTCTCTTCTGATTTTCACTCAACACGACTCGCGTCCGCAGAAAACAAAATGTCCACTCCCGTCGTCACGCTCGATGAGCGCATCGCTCAGTTCAAGGTTGATGTCGAGCGCTACCTGGCCGACTACATTGACTCGCCCTCGCAGATTGTGCTTGCCTCGGCCTGGCTCATTTCCGACAATGTCATTCTGGACTTGTGGCACCGCTTCTTCCCGAACGCGCTTCCGTCCATTGTTGGCGTCGACACGCTGCACCTCTTCCCCGAGACACACGCCGTTGTTGACGAGATTGCCGCTCGCTACAACGTCAAGCCGCTGGTTGTCAAGCCCGAGGGCTGCGAGACGCTGGCCGACTTTGTTTCCAAGTTTGGCACGCACGAGACGCTGTCGCACGCTGCCTTCGACGCGCATTCCAAGATTGATCCCCTGACTGGCGCGTTCGACCAGCTCAAGAAGCGCGTGGCCATCACTGGTCGTCGCGCCGACCAGGGCAATGCCCGCGTTACCCTCGCCGTTTGGGAGGAGGACAAGAAGACCTTCAACCCCTTGGCCGACTGGTCGTGGCAGGACGTCACCGAGTACACCCTCATTCGCCGCGTGCCCTACAACGCCTTGCACCGCGTCCTGTCGGTCAGCGACACGTATGTCGCCCCTGTCGACCGCGACAAGCCCCACCTCGCCAAGTTCCGTCACGTGCAGCTGGCCCTGCCCTACTTTGCCTACGACCAGGATGCCATCAAGGCGCACGGCAAGTTTGTCTACGTGTGGAAGTCGTTTGGCGACACGCACACCACCGTCCCTGTCGAGCTGGACAAGTCTGAGCGCGCTGGTCGCTTTGTCGGCCGCGAGCAGACCGAGTGCGGCATCCACACCCGCATTGCCCCGAAGGGCGTCCCGCACGGCGGCATTCTGATCAACCGAGTCCTCGCTGCCAACGACCCCAAGATTGCCGAGCTTCGCGCCGCCGCCAAGCACAAGATTGTCCTGACCGAGCGCCAGACCTGCGACGCCGAGCTCATTGCCAACGGCGGCTTCTCCCCGCTCACTGGCTTCCTCGACCTCAAGGCGTACGAGAAGGTCGTCCACACGATGCGTCTGCCCGAAGAGCAGCTCTTTGGCCTGCCCATCACGCTCGACACTGACAACGAGGAAATCCAGGAGGGTGACATTGTCGAGCTCGTTGACGACCTCACCAACGGCCAGTTCTTCATCCAAGTCGACAGCAAGTGGGTGCCCAACCGCACCACCGAGTCTGTCAAGTGCTTTGGCACTGCCTCGCTCGAGCACCCTTCGGCCTTCCACCTTTTGACCGAGAAGAAAAAGTACAACATTGGCGGCCCCCTCTGGGCCACCGCTCTCCCCAAGCGTGACTGGGTTGTGTGCCGCACTCCTGCCGAAGTTCGCGCCACCAAGACTGCCGGCCGAAACCTGGTCGCCTTCCAATCCCGCAACCCCCTGCACAAGGCCCATGTCGCCATGTTCCTGCAAGTCGCCTCCGAGTTCAAGGCCGACGTCATGGTCCATCCCGTGGTTGGCCCCACCAAGGGCGACGACGTCCCACCCCAAGTCCGCAAGCAGGTCTACGACGTGCTCGCAGCCAAGCTCACCAACGTGCACTTTGACTACCTGCCCTACTCGATGCTGGTCGCCGGTCCCCGCGAGGCTCTTCAGCACATTATCATTCGCAAGAACTACGGCTGCACGCACATGATTGTCGGCCGCGACCACGCTGGTTGCAAGGATGCCTCGGGCAAGGACTTTTATGGCCCCTGGGACGCCCAGGAGCTCCTCAAGCCCCTTCAAAAGGAGCTCGGCATCGACATGGTTGCCTTCCGCGACCAAGTCTACGTCCAGGAGGAGAATCGCTACATGAGCGGCGATGAGGCCAAGGAGAAGGGCTTCACTCCCTTGAGCATTTCCGGCACCAAGTTCCGCTCCATGCTCTTGTCTGGCGAGGACATTCCCGAGTGGTTTGCCTACCCCGATGTTATTACCGTGCTCCGCAAGTGGGCTCAACAACAGCAGCAACAATCTGTTGCATCGGCTGCCCAATAATTGAATTTTGTTGTGTTGAGAAGGCTGTTTTTTTTTTGTGTGAACTGGTCGTGTTGTTTTCTGTAGTCTAGATATATTTTTCAATGTTTCTGGGCGCCTTGCAGCGTTTGTTCATTGAGGAGGGTGGGGTTAGGGGGATGGGTTTCTGCTTTGGTTTCTGCTTTTGGTTTCTGGGTTACTGAGTGTGACCAAGGGCATGTGGCAATCGAAGTGCAGCATCGAAGTAGAGCAGAGGAAGCGTAAGAGAGAGAAAAGAGAGGTAAGGGAACAAGAGGGTGAGCAACGGCAGAACGTCATTCGATGGGACATTCTGTGCCATCGCAATCAAATTGTCCTTGAGCTCGAATGCTTCGAGTGCCTCGATTTTTGTCAATACACGCTCGGTCGAGGCGGATTATAATCAGTCTGTGTACACTGACAGCCGATGGAAAAAAAAGGGGGCAAGGCGCTTGACGTCGTTGCCCATGAGCACGACAACCCGGCCGTCCGGATCACTCTTGCACACCTCGCGGGACCACTCGCGGTTGGCCTTTGCGCGTGTGATCGGGTTCTTCGCCGTGCTGTGGGTGCCCGTAATGCACAGAACAAATAGCATGGAGAATTCCTTGGCGAAGTCTGACTTGTCAAACGCGGCAAACATCCTTCGAATGTGACCATGCACTGTCACTGCACTGTCAGAGAAGACGACGTGGTCTTGGATCTGCAAAAAAACTTTCATCGGTTTGCTCTTTGGAATGCGGACGGCAAACCGCAGATCGACGTGCGGCGTTGCGGGAGCCGATAACAAGACAACCGCCGGCAGGTTTTTCAGACTGAAAGACACCAACGGACGGTCAAGAGCCAGCTCTTTGTAGGCATGTACATCCAGCTGCGGGGTATGAACTGCGTCCATCGACATGAATTGCCTCGTCTCCGTCATGACTTCGTACCCGTCTACCTGCAGCTGAATCTCGTACCTGAGAAAGTCGGCAGCGGCCTCGCCCGCGGCGCCGTCGAGCACTGTGTGGAGCTCGAGACCGAGCAGCATGCCGAGGCGAAGCGTGCCTCCTTTCCGTTGAAGTGCAGCCATGCGACTCGCAAGCGACAGTGCCACCGCTGCTTCGCATGCAAAGCCATCGCCGCCAGTGCGCATCGGAAACTCAACCAGTCGCCGGACAAACTGCGTCCAGCCTGCTTCGCAATGACTCAGACATTGGTCGAGAAGTGGGAGCGGCATGTGAATGTACATGTCGGGGCCCTCATCCACAGGCGTTGTGGCAAGCACTCCTTCCATCGTAAGGTCGTGCACGGTCACGGGCCCGATGGGGGTGTCCGCAGAGACGGGCACACATGAAAGCGAGAGTTGAACGAGCTCGAGTAGCCCATCCTCGCCGAGACTGCCAGCGCGCTCTCTGGGCTTGTAGCGTCGGAAGATGTCATCCAAGACGCGCAAGGCACTATGTGGTGCAGCTGGGTTTTCAAAGGAGATCGTGGCGGCCGCGTCCGCAAGCGACTGGATCAGCACTGGAACGCCACCCATGTCGCCCAGCAGCCGCTTGGCACCATCATGTGTTAGCCAGCTTTGGTGGATCGAGTGGTGGTGCGAGCCAAACAGGTGCTGCGCCAAATTGAGGTCGAGCGGCTGGAGAGGAAGCGAGCAAACCTTGTGCTGCGTTGAGTGCAGCGTGATACCAGCGTGAGAGGTTCCCGTCGTCAGAAGGACGACCAAGTTACGCGTCTGACGCAGGTTGTACTGGAGGATGTCTTCCAGCTGCACCTTGAGGATGTCGACGGCCTCGATAAACTCAACCTTGACCGCGAGCCGCTCTATGGCGAGCTGGAACTCGTCGACGTGAACGAAGAGTAGCGCAATCTGGTCGGCGGCAATCTGGCGGTTGTGCCGGTGGCGGACAAAGATCTCGTCGAGGACCTGTCTGGTATTCCACACCCCCTCAGTGTCGCAGAAGGTACTGTTTTCGCGAGCGCCCTTCGTGGTTGTGTTGAGCAGACCGCGTGCAGCCAAGCGAACGGCTAGAATTCGACCCCGCCTGTGCTTGCTGGTCTCCTCGACCTCCACGTTGTCGCCCAGACCGTTGAAGTCGATGAATATGTAGTGGGTGTTCTTCAGCAGATTGAGCAGTTCTTGCGGTTGGACGAGAAGGTTGGGAAGGCCCACCTCGGCCCATGTAGTGACGTTTTTGAGAATTCTCTGCATTTCGTCGAGCGCGTGAAACCCGAACGAAGACTTACCCATCCCACTGATGGTAGTGAGTTGCAGCAGGGGAAAGCGGTTACGACGATCACCAGACCTCTGTTTCTCATCGAACGAGAATGCAACGGCCTTCAGCAGCTCGTAGATCGCGCTGAGTCGGGGTTGGAATGACTCCCGCCTCTTGGGGAATTGCTGCTCGACAAACGGGTGCCCATGCAAGCGCGTGATCACCTCGGACATCGTGGGCTGCGGCAGCTGCGGCGGCTGTATTCCAGCACATGCTGTTAAAATGAGTGTAGTCATCCTCGAAATCTCAGCAACATGCAATGCCAACTCACCGTGATACCCATTCGGCTCAAGAGGGCGATAAACTCTTCCGGCGGCATCGAAGCCTTCAGTTGCCCCATCACTTCGTCTGGGGTTGGCATTCTCTTCTGTATGTTTGGTTGCGGCAATGCGAATTTTTTTGGGTTTGTTTATTATTATATTTCTTTGGTTCGGTTAGGGTTTCCTCCGTCTTCCCGTCTCTCTTTTTGCACATGCTCGTTGCTTCACGTGCCTTCTTTTGTCAACGTTCGACTCCCGTTGACCAGCATCTGTGGGCCACTGCCGCTCCTTTTTTTTCTTTTTCTTTTTTGTTTTGAAACCGTCTCAATTGAAACCGTTTGATTGAAATTTGAACAAGAAAAGTTCCCCTCCCCTCACAGTGCTCCCAAAAGAAGTATTCAGAACGTCTTCACTATTCATGTCTGAAGAGCGATGAATCGGCTCCGGAGAAAGAGAAAGAAGAGCCAAGATCAGTTTAAAAAAAAAATCGAGAAAATAAAAACAAGAAAGAAACACGAAAAACCCCTTCCCGCCTTCAGCACGCATCCATGTGTGCAGTGAGCAGTCCCATTCATTACGGAAGGTACAAGTGAACTCACATTCAAATGGGCGGCAAATACGTGAGCTTGCCAATTCACTTGAAAGAGGACTGTGCGACCAGAATTGGAAATCGACTGAATTTCCAAATCGCCCAGCTCTAGTTGATTCTTTCATTTCCAGTTGAATACCCCCACTACAGCAGCTTGATTTCTTGATGCGGGAGAAGATGCGCTCGACGACAAGAGCGAGTGTGACGACGAGTGCTGCGATTGATGCGACGTCCATTGCGAAGCGAAATTCTGATCATCTAAATTTTTTTTTTTTTTTTTTTGTTAGATCGTTTTTTTTTTGTTGAATCACGTCCGCACGACAGCAACCACGCTATCGCATCCAGGTTTCCAGATGAGGAATGCCCTTCGTTCAACCCTGCCACGATCCTTCTGTTTGTTTCATTTCCTGTTGCTTTTGACTTTTGCTGTTTTCTGAGATTTTTTCGAATGATCGCTTTTTGTTGTTACTCTTTTTTTTTTTTTTTTTCTCTTTTTATGGCTCGCTTTCCTCGCGTCGCGACTGGCGCCACGCTGCCGCTGCGGCTGCCGCTGCTGCTGGTGGTGGTGCTCGCTGTGCTGCTGGCGCGCCGCGATCTGGGAGTCGCAGCTGTTCCTTCGCTGGGCACGGGCGCGACGCCAGCGCACTCGGTGTACTACAACGACGGCGTCAACTACGCGATGAGCCAGTTTGAGAAGGGCGCTCAGTGCGTGGCGGACGACGACTACCTGTGCGCCTTGGAGGCCTTCCTCTCGGTCATCTCGTTCTCGCCGGCACTCATCGAGGGTCACCTCAACTTTGGCAACTGCATGGAGCACACCAACAAGATTGAGCACGCGCTCGCCGTCTACCACTCGGCCCACCTCGTCGACCCGTCGCATCGCTCGCCGCCCAACTTTTACTGCAGCGCCGCGGTCAACGCCAAGCTCTACACCCCGCTGTCTGCAGAGATGTGCCGACTGGCTGCGCTGGGCCACCCAGAGGAGCCCCGCATGCAGCAGCGCTACGATGCCGTGCGTCTGATGGTCCTCACCGAGCAGGCGCGCAGGAGGGAGGCCGAGGAGAAGGGCGAGCCGTTTCCCGAGTTTGTCTCGCCTCCGCCGCCAGTCCACGACACGCAGGAGGACTTGATTGCCAACTTTATGGCGGCAACGCCCGTCAACCCGCCCCGCCGCCGGCTGGAGAGCATCTGCGCCGCTGTGACGATGGGCTGCTTTTTCGACTCTGCCCGCATTGTCTGCGACGCTGCCGCCCGCGACGTCGAGTCGTCCGTCTATGCTCTTGGCGATATTGGTCTGCTTGGCGATCTCACCTTGGATTCGGCGCGCGCCTACGAGTTCAACAAGCGCGCAGTCATGTACAAAATCCGCCAGGTGGAGGATTACCTGCTGCCGCACAAGCACTCCATCCCTTCGCTCGCCAACAGCAAGTGCGATCGCCACGAATTCGTCATCCGCTGGCGTCACATCACCAACCCGCTGCGAAACTACCCGAAGGAGTTCTTGGACGACTGCCCTCGCATTCGTGCCCACAACGACCCGCTCGATCGCATTTCTGGCGCCTCGTGCTTCCCGGAGGCCGGCGAGCACCAAGCCAATGCTCGCATTCGCTGGCTCGGTCCCGGCGTTACGAACGTGACCACCACTCGTCTCTGCCAACACGGCGTTACCGACTACGACATGACTGCCAAGCTGTTTGTTTTGCAGAATACGTACATCGAAGGTCCTTCCTCGGTGCTCTACGATGACTGCCACGTTTACTCTGGCAGCAACGACGTTCTGTGCAAGGTGCCCGAGCAGTTCAACTTTGGTCTGCCCACCCTCGAGCAAATGACTGGCAGCGGTGGCTCGCCGCTGTCCCCCAAGCTGACTGCTCGTCCTGGCGAGGAAATTGTCAACGAGGTGGCACTGCCAGACAACGTGCTGGCCCTGGTCAACACCCACCAGAGCGGCAACTACTACCACTTCACCGCAGAAGTGCTGCCCCGTCTCCTGCTCTTCCTGAACTACACCAACTCGCTCCCCCGCAACTCAAAGTACGCCAACCCAACGTTTGTCATTCCTGATGGCAACAAGGTTGCGCTCAACTACCTCCAGCTGCTCAAGGTCCCTGCCAACCGCGTCGTCCGCCACCGCACCCAGCTCAAGCAGGCCCCCAAGGACGAGGTTATTGAGGGCGACAAGCCCCAGAAGAAGAAGAAGAAGGGAAAACGGGCCGCTGCCGCCGCTGCCCCTTCGGCCGCCGCCGCCGCCGCCAACGGTGGGTACAAGCCGCGCACGGTCTTCTCCAACCGCATCTTTGCTCGCGAGCTGATGCTCGTCGATTGGGAGCTGGACAACCCCGACATTATGCAGCACGACACGTATGCTGCCTACCTCGCGCCTCCCGCGGCTCTGCGCATGACTCGCCGTCACTTTGCCTGGCCGTATCGCCCGGAGAATGAACGCAACTTGATTATTTACGTCAGTCGTCAAGACGCCGGCTTTATTCGCGTCGTGCACAACGAGGACCGTCTCACGGCGGCGCTGATGCAAACCGTGTCGCGAATTGTGGTTCACGAAGACGCTGCGCCCTTTGAGTTTGTCAAGTTTGTTGCCGGCCCAGGCATCTCCATCGAGTACCAAATGTCCTTGTTCAGCCGCGCGGCTGTCGTCATCGGCCCCCACGGCGCTGGCATGACCAACATTATCTGGTCGGCTCCTGGAACTGCCGTCATCGAGTTCCCCACCCTGCCCAACGCCAACGGTGTGTTTGGCTTCATGTCGCTGGCGCTTGGTCACAACCACTGGCTGGTGCCTGAGATGAACACGTGCTACTACTCGGCATACGAGCTTGATGTTGAGCGCATCAAGAACATTGTCTCGACCCTCCACTCTGCCCTCGGCGAGGTCACCCGCCACGGCCAGCTTGTTACCGTCAACGAGTCCATGGATGATGTTGTCATCCACGACGAAATCGCTGTCGCACAGCTCGTCGATCCGCGAATCATCCAGCAGCAGGAGGCCCTGATTCTCCGGCAGCAAGACCGCGAGAGGGCAGAGGCCGCTGTTGGCGAGGCGGCCGCCGCGCCCGTCCAGGAGGCACCCGAGGACGAAGAAGAAGAGGAGGAAGAGTCTGCGGAAGAGATTGCCGCAGAGCTTGCCGCAGAAGCAGAAGCACAACGCGAGCGCGAGCACGCACACAAGCGCAAAACGCGCAAGTTCAAGCGTCAAGAGTTTGCCAGTCATGACGAATTTTGATTTATTATTCATAGGCCTTTTGAGCCTTGATCACTTTTTCTTTCTTTCTTGTTTTTGTTTTTTCTTTTTTTGTTTCGTGCGTTTCCTTCGAGTGTTTTCTTTTTCTCGTTCTGGTCGCTTATTCGTTTGTGTGGCTTTTGTGGCTTTTCTTTTTTTGGTATTTGGCAAACGGTTTGGGATTTTTTGTTGTTCATTGTTGTTCCCCCTCATTTCCGACAATCTCTTCCGAATAAAGTCCTTTCACCCCAGTTCAAGAGTATAGCTTTGAGAGTTTGATTCAAAGAATAATGGCAGCACTTAACAACACATTGACAAACACACCGCGTGCTCACTTTACGCGAGAGATGACAATCCATCACCAATAAAGTAGGCCGCTACGGTTGTGAGACCTCCGACAATTAACATGGACAGTCCTGACTGCCACCAGGGCACTTGAATGACTTGGCCCTGGAACAGACAAACAAGTACACAAAGCGAAGCGACATGATAGCAACCGCAAAAATGAGAAGGATGCGCGCCACAAAACACGTCTCTCTGTCCTCAAGCTCCTTGCAAAGCTCCTTGTGCTTCTCTTACCTTGTATGCGCCGAGGCCAAACAACGCAAGTGCCAACAAACCAACAGCAATGCCGAAAATCTCGTCCAAATCCGCCTTCTTGTTGTAGTCTGCGGCACAAATATAGGCCAGCATCGGGAAGCCGCCAAACAGGATGAAGGAGACGAACGTAATGACAGCTGCGACGAGTGCGACAACAACAACAACGAAAAGTTAAAATCACAAAGAATTTCAACCAGAGATCAAAAGCTTCAAAAGAATACACACCGCTCTTCCATGGCACGACGGAAGCGTCTTGAGGCATGATGCCCAGCTCCTCCATCATCATGATATTCAAGAAAGCGTCTTCGTTGGTAAAGAGCAGATCCACCACCTTGACCGCGTCGGCATGCGAGAGACCCTTGTCTACGTAGATTTCGACCATTTCCTTCTTTTCAGTGTCTGGATCATGCTCGATTTCCCTGTCAACACACAGCAAAGCGAGAACGACCGCCAGTTCAGAAAGTCAGCCATTTCGTCAACAGCACCTTGAAAAATCACACACGCTCTCGAGCGCATCATACCACGCCTCTCGCGCTCGCTCCGAGTTTGCATGATCGAGCTCTGCCCGCGAGCTCAGGTAGTCGCCCACAGCCATTGCGAAAGCGTCTCCGACCAAATTGGCAAATCCGATGGTCAGAATTGTCTTTCGCTCCAAGTTGCCTACAAAAAAAAACTCACAAGGCACCTTGAGAGCGCTGCCGCAACGCATTTCACCGGACACTACAACACATGTAGCCATTTCAGTCAGCTACAGCACAGAACTGCGTTACCAGCGACTCCAGCGGCGACAACAGCGAACGTTGTGATGATGCCGTCAAGACCGCCAAAGATGATTGCTTGAATGTACTCGCTGAGGCCCCTGAATGCTCAAACAATAGCAAAATCACCACGACAATCAAAGGTGAGTGTCAGGGTCCGAGTCAGAGTCAGAGGTGCCAAGCAAAGCAACGGAGAGCGTCGGAGGAGAGCCCAGCGTGTGTGCACTGTTGCTCGCTGGCTGCGGTCTCGTTCCCCACCTCCTCCTCTTGACTGGAGATGCACAGGCGACCATCCCATGTTCCGGATGGAGGTGCTCGGTGTGGAAGCCAGATCCATACTCGCTCCATTTCGTTTCGTTTCCCACGAGGACCAGTGCTTCCAGTCGGGACTTACGTTCGGTGCTTCTCATCTGCCTTCAGGCGGCCCAATAATGGAGAGTCCTCAGCACTGTCAGTGTTGATGCCGACTGTGCCAACTGCACCGTGAGCGCGGGCAGACGCATCGGCATTGCCAGCCTCGAATGCGCCGCGTGCATCTGCGAGTGAGCGAGTTGCCATTGTGTGTTCAAGCTGTTCACAAATAAAGATGGAGTGAGTTGTAACATAGTAAAGTCACTTGACTCTATAGTGGCACACTCGGACACTCAGACAAGGACTTTTAGCAGGACTCGCAGAACCGAAACAGCAATGTCGGCGTTTGGAAGCATTTTTGCGCCGCTATTCCCCAGCATTGAACAGTGTGAAGCAAACGAAAAGCGGGCAATGGGATCGCACGACTTGCTCGGTCTGCTTGGTTCGATACTGCCATTCGGGAGTGGAAGCCGGGGTTTTCCGGGAGGATGAGGGACAGGTAGTGCTGATCGTAGGTCACTGACGATGTTTTGACTCGAATACAAATCACTCACGCACACACGCACACATACATCAGATAGCTTTGAATCAGGTTTGATTCCTTACCTCCAATAGTAAGCCATAGTCTCACTAATCGAGCGTCAGAGTTCAGTCTCATTTTCTCAGCAGCCTCAAACACAAACAAACCCCGTCCGACCATGTCCGAGTCTGCAGCGTCGACCTTCACGCCGCGCCACGGGCCAGGCGTCGATCTAGAGAAGCTTGTCTCCACCGAGAAGCACAAGGGCGGCGGGTGAGTCTGATGTGCACGGACACTCTCGTCGGCTCCCCTTCCCACGAGGGTCCGACGCCAAGCAACGATGCCTTTTGATGCCCTTGTGTTTGTATTGCTGAAGAGAGACGCTCACTCTCACTCTGACTTGGCTGTGCTTGAACTGTGTGATCGCAATGTCTTGGGGGGGGCCCGGGTGTTTGGTGTTTGCTGTGCTGTGCGGCTGTCTCACTGTCCCCGTCAATGCTACAGCACGGAATATGTGAAGAGGTAAGTAAGCGGGGTTTCGCAGAGGCCTTATTTGATTGAAAACGATCATCGACGGAAAATGTTGTTCATGTCGGATTGTTACTTTTGTTAGTATTGTTTATGGTGGTCTCGATGGTGTCGTTTCCATCCTCGTCTCGGTCGCTTCCGTTTATGGCTCGCCGGTCGGCATCAAGTTCATCCTGGCTCTTGGAGCCGCAAAGCTCGCAGCGGGTGCATTCTCGATGGGCATTGGCGATTTTCTGTCCACCAAGGCGGAAGTCGACTTTATTGTTCGCGAGCGACTTCGTGAAGAATGGTAAGAAAACCAACGTCACGAAAGCTTCCTCGCTCGATTGCTGGCGGTTGTCATTCTCACACCATCCACATCCTTGTCTTGTCCTGCTGTTTTGGCTACCGTTGCAGGGAGGTTGACAATTATATCGAAGGCGAGCGGGCCGAAATGATTGAGATTTATGTCAATTACGGCCTCTCGAAACAAGCTGCGACAGAGGTGGTGGAGATTATTTCAAAGAACAAGCAAACATTCGTCAATACCATGATGGTCGAGGAGCTTGGTGAGTTGTCTTGTTTTCGGATGCGGGAGTTGGCGCCTGCTCGTTTTTTTTTTTTGGTCTTTTTTGTCATTTTGGCTAACCAACAACACTTCCGTTGTTTTTCTTGGCTGCATTGGTTCGACACGTGCGCTAGGCCTGAACCCCGAAGACATTGATCAAAGTCCTCTCAAGCACGGGTTGGTCAATTTCGGATCTTTTCTACTGTTCGGAATCTTGCCGCTGCTAGTGTACATTGCCTTCGCCATTGACGGCAACGAAGACGACAATCTTGCCTTTGCGATCAGCGCTGGCATGACTGGGTTTGGCCTCTTAAGTCTGGGTGTTGGCAAGGTGCGTGATTCCGACCAGCTAGCGTGCTTTCCTTTTCCTTCCTGGAGCGGACTACTGACTGACATTGGACATTGTATTCATTCGAACAGGCATTCTTTACTGGCACACCGTACATTTCATCGACACTAATGACGCTATTGTGCGGCTGCGCTTCTGGGGCTGTCGGGTTTGGGATTGCATATGCCTTCCGTGGCGAGAGCGTTTAACGGCTCTTCGAGGCTGTTTTGTCTTTCACGATTTGAGGTTTTCTTGTCATTTATCATGAAGGTTGGCGGTAAAACTTGCTCGAACACTGTTGGGAACTCTCCAATGTATTTGTCAAACGAAGGCGGTTTGCAAAAGGTTGCCGCTGGCGCCCTGCCAACCTGTCATGCGCTATGGACCCCTCCATCTCGCCATAGCATCAGAAACATATGTAGTAAGTTTTGATACAGTATTATGCAGTCGAGGTCGAAATCACAGCAGGCGAGGTTGGAAATTAGAGCGGACGAAGTGAGGAAAATCGGACTGGAAAAAAGTAGCTTGGTTGAAAGTGCGAGAAAAATGGTTTTTTCCGTAATTGGTTTTTGTGCGTTCGATTTGGTTTTCAACGAGTTGGTTTTTGCAAGCTTGTATTTCGAATTAACCCACTTGAGATGTTAGAATTACCAACAACTTCAGGAAGTATTTGAATTGAATCATGTATCTTGGAAGGTCATTAGATGCTGGGGTGAGTAGCGGGAAAGCTAGGGCTCGGGAAGAGCTCGAACTACAGTTTTTATGAATTACTTCCACAGCGACGTCTTTACCACCCAGGGCTCGTACTCACGAGCCATTTCGGTGTAAGCATTAGCATTCGCATAGTTTATCATAGTGTCATTAAATTGGTGGCAATCGTATATGCCGAGTGGATTGTTCCGATCATTCCTAACGACCAGCCAGTTGCAGCACCAATGACAACGCAATGTGCACTCCACAGTGGAGCGCTCCAGCTTGCATACGCTCAATACATGTACATACATGTATAAATAGGCTTAACTATGTTTGTTTTATGAAGGTTTACGGGTAGAGTGAAGAAAGGACGCAAGGCCGACCGGACTGTGGGGTTTTCTCCTGAAAGCCATCGACTAGTCTTTGGCAGATGCTTGTTGCAGAATAAACATGATGTGAAATGGATGTACAACAATACAGTATTTATACATGTAACATGACAC